GAGAGAGAGAGAGAGAGAGAGAGAGAGAGAGAGAGAGAGAGAGATTTTTTGAATTTGGATTCAGATACCCTGTCGCCCTCTCCAAACCCCAGCCCTGGAAGGGCCAGCTGCACTGGTGCAGCTTGCTTCTCTTGGGCTCCAAGGAGAGAACCGCGCTCTGAGGATGGCTGTTCTTGCTTGGCAAAGTTTGCGACTCCCTGTATAGCCCTTTATACACTTGGAGAGAAGCCCTTATCCGGCTTCAACATCCCCTGCGTACGCTCTTCCAGCAGCCTCCACTGTGCAAAACTGAAGTTTGGCTCGCGGGGAGCCTCCGGAGGTCCCCACTCTATCCTCAGTTTGGAAGACTCATGCACCCTTAACCTTTACTCCGCAGGTCAGAGTGCCCGCCCTGTGGACTCTAGAGAGTGAGGGTAGTTCGCCTTTCCAGGCCCCTGAAGGTCCCTCCCTGCCCTAGGTAGTTTTCTAGGGTTTGGGGACAGTCAAACGGGTCGTTGTGAGGCCAAGGGTTTAGGGCGCCCTCTTCCGTCTGCTGGTCAGGAAGCTCTCTGCAGGAGAGATGCTCAACACAAGGGGCACTAGCAAGAGGGCTCGGAGGATGACGGTGCCAGAGGATAGCGAAAACCTCAACCATTTCCATAATTAAGCAGATCGTCCCTGAGATCTGAGATTGAAGTGTGATAAGGCAGCTTGGGCCATTGGGCCTGAGCTGTCCAGTGCAGAGACTTGTTAACCCCATGCAGAGCAGAAGATCCTCAGAGCCTGGAAGCTGATGCCAATCTTCTGACATGCACCCAGACAAGCCCTGTACCTGAGACCAATCTTCTAGCACAAGGTCAAGGGGAGTTTTGATGGCACTGCCTGGATTCGATGTCAGAAAGGAACCATAACAGATGACAGCCACTGATTTCACTGCCACTGCTGCCTTGTTCCTGCAGTGGCCCTTTCTGCTTGTAGGACATATCTTCTCTTTCCCTCACTGCACCTCTTTGGTGCTTCTTTTTCTTCTTTCTTTCTGTCCTAAAGTAAATGTTAAACTTCCACAGTCACTCATTGTGCTGTTCAACTCACTGAAAAGGACATAAAGAGCTTGGGAGTACAGCTGGTCATTGTTCACCTGGTAACACTCCCATATGGATGATCAGTGTCTTTTAATTCTGCCTGAACACTTCTTTCCAAGCCACAATTACATATTTTTATCCTGGACATCAAAAATACTAAGAAAAATGTGTATTATAATTTGTACCCAAACTGTTTTCTTCTGGAACAGTGATGGTGGATCTTTTAGAGCTTTCAGTGATACAAAGAACCTGCTGTGGCCATAGGTTCACCACTACTGTTCTAGAAGTGCCACCCTGAACCTAATAGCTCTTCTAAGTCTGTGTGAAGCAAGTTGAGACACTGTGGTTCTGCGCATTTTGAAAGTCCCTGTCCTGCTCACCACTATGCCCACCATTGCTCTTCTTCCCTCCATCACTGAGGTAAGACTGCATTCTAAGAGTAAAAGCAAAGGCTTATAGGATTTTTGCCTCTGCGGAAACCTATCAGACACAATTAGGACTTCAGTGAAATGTCTAGAGAGCAATATGAGGCCCTGGAGATTCTTGAGTTGTTCAAAGTGAGCCATGAAAGCCAGAAGTTTTGGGGCCCTGGGCAAACAAAATAAATAGCTCCTGAAGATCCTGCAGTAGCAATCATGCACCTGGGGGCCAAACTGCACATGTTGCCTGGTTATCTTCTCAGATAACTTTTAGGTAGTAACTTTTGAAAGGCTTGATGAGGCTGAGGCATGATTATTGACATAAAAGTTATTCTTCTGAAAAAAAATATTCTGGCAGGTTCTTGAAGTATTGGTTCTGAGGATTTTCTCACATAAAAGATCATTTTAAACACATTCTACCAGTATGATTTATGTAGGCTTAAAACATTAATAAGAAATATCATGGTCATACAGTGAAGTGTCTCATTTGCTACACTTTATTGTTTATTGTGGCCAGTTGCCAAAATGGTGATAATGAGGCCAGGGCTGTGGATTTGATACCAGGAGGGGGAGTTGGCTCCATTCTGTTTGCTAGCCAAAGACCCTGGCCCCTCCACTCTGGCCGAGAGCCTCATACATCTTTTTCCTTTTCACTACAGGGAAGGCTGTCTTAACTCTGATGACTAGCTAGGACAGACCATGCATGGGGACATAGAAGCTAAAGAGACCACGTTGGATGAAGATATCTTTTGCCCATGTTATTGGAGATATATTAAACTCTATATAACATTAAAGCTATCAATATCAATATTAATACAATCAGCTATCAATATCTACTTTATCCTCACCTCCCAATTGTAGGAGCCATCCATTTGCTGAAAATGTATTATTACACTCATGACTTTGGCCTGCATTGACTCAGGTTCTGTCCAGGGAAAGTATAAAGGGCAATGATGATAGAGTGGTGGATTGTGGGAGCTGACTCTGCTAGCTACCATCGCTGTTAATATTTCACCTTACATGTAAGTACTGTCCAGATATTGACTGAAGATTTATTTTCCATTAGCAAAGGGGAAAAATGCTTTCATGTGCTTTTGCTCAGGTGTTTAAATCATGAAGCTTCTTTTTGCAGGGCAAGAAGGAAATGCCACCAAAAATTTCCTACTAAGCTTTTTAGCACTAAGTTTTTTAGCACTTTTGGTCCAAAACTGGGAAGCCATATTGAAACCCAAATTCCTTTCTTCATTAGAGAGGAGATAGATGTGTACAAAATACCTTTTTCTCCCTGAGGATATTTGGTATCTCAGAAATGCCACAGATTCACAACTGCTGATCCCAGGCATAGTTACCTAAACTCCCTCAAGCTGAACACATAGAAATTCCCTCTTTACCTCTTCTTCCTCCCTCCTCACTCTTTCCTCCCCATCTCCATCCTCCTCCTCCCCCCTTCCTCCTCTCTACTCACCTAGTCCTTTTCTGATGCTTTAAGTTTATAAGATCAAAACCAATAAGCCAGTCTGGAGAAAGCTCCTACCAGTAAACCTCTCTCCGAACGGGCTTTGTCCCAGGGCAGGTGGACAGTCACGTAAATGTGACAGCGGGGTTGATGGCAAGCTGAGCACACCTGGACCAGTGAGTTCAAGCAAATAGATTAAGCTGCCAGAAGTCTCCTAGGTAGCTCATTTGCATTTGCCTCCTGGTCAGCCTCTGTTTAACCAGAAATTTATACTTTGTCCACTGTGTATTGCACCATCTTTGACATCAATGAGATAAAGGTGTGAGTCCTGACTAATACTATTTCTTTTAAGTATACTAAAGACCTGAAGGAGTTATTTAAATGCTCAGAGTCTGTTGCAGCTCCTGGAAAATGATGATGAAAATACCTACTTCTCAGGCTTATTTTAAGGATTAAATGGCTTTGTGATTCAAAAATGCTTAGCACACTGTTTTGTAAAAGTGCCCAGAATAAAAGCTCAAGATACCTCTGTGCCTTGGTTTCCACTGCCTGCCCTTGGGGTCTGTTTGTGCCTCAGCCTCTCTGTAAGTTCTATTCTCATTCAACTTTTTTTCATGAGGCCTTTGATCTCTCTCTGTCTGTCTGTCTGTCTCTCTCTCTCTGTCTCTCTCTCTCTCTCCTCTCTCCTCTCTCAATCTGTCTCTCTCTCACACACACATACACACACACACACACACACACACACACACACACACACACACTGCTTCTGATTTCAGGAAAATATTTTCTGCCCAATAAGCAAAATGTCCTGGGCACAGCTCATGTGTGGCAATTGTTAGTGAACACCAATACCAGTTTCCCTTATTTGTTTCTAGGGAGTTTTGTTCTGAGCTGTGTTACCTCTGCATTTTTAATGAGGAATGTATTCTGTTGCTATGGCATATTGAAATTGATGGCTTCCTCTGGAATCTACATCCATCCCCCTCAGGCTTTCCCTTGGCCTTTCTGAGATTGCGATCTAGTGGTTTATAGAACAGTGCTTAATCAAGTAAGTCTCACTTGTAGGAAACTCGAGGCCTCTGGTTTCTAATTTCTCCTTTTTAATTCTTCCCGCAGCTCAGTGGCACAGATTTATTGAAGCCTCTGCCAGCAACAATTGGCTCTGCCTCCCTGCAGTTTCAATAGTTCATGCTGAAATCAGCGGCTACGCAGTGGGAAAGGGGATGACTGTCATTTTATGCCATTGTTTCTGGTGCCAGGGCAAGACCAGTATTTCATTAGTAGACATGTAGGTAAACAACTGTGCTTCTGATCCTAGGGCAGTGAGGCTACGGGCAACCCATGGGTTCAACTTGTTATTGTTCTGGGGAAATCTTATTTCCAGTATCTTAAAGGTGGTAGAATTTTCTTTCAAATAACTCATAGAATTTGATAAAGCAAATCTTTTTACTCTCCATGACCAGGACACATAATTTTCTGTTGGCATTTGGAGCTCCAGTGCCTGAGGATGCAAACTAGGCTTTCTTCTCAATATGTCA